AAAGGTACAGGGAGAGAGAGAGGACACACTACGGGAGAGAGGAGACACAAAGTTAGTGATGTGTAGTGGTGGCATATAGAAGCATAGGGAGAGAAAGGAGAGGAGAGGAGAGGAGAGGAGAGGAGAGGAGAGGAGAGGAGAGGAGAGGAGAGGAGAGCAGGAGGGGAGGGGAAAGAAACTCAGAGCATCATGGGGCCCCCAGCAGCCTAGGCCTATAGCAGCATAACTAAGGGAAGGCTCAGGGTCACCTGATCCAGCCCTAACTATAAGCTTTATCAAAAAGGAACGTCTTAAGTCTAATCTTAAAGGTAGAGAGGGTGTCCGCCTCCTGAACTGAGACTGGGAGTTGGTTCCATAGGAGAGGAGCTTGATAGCTAAAGGCTCTGCCTCCCATTCTGCTTCTGTGGACTCTAGGAACCACAAGTAAACCTGCACTCTGAGAGTGAAGTGCTCTGTTAGGATGATAAGGCTCTACGAGGTCTTTAAGATACAATGGAGCCTTGTCATTAAGGGCTTTGTATGTTAACCCTCAGGCCTTCATATACTGTTACTATAAGCTTTGATTTTTGTAAATACTGTAAGAGTTATAAGCATGGACGTGCACAGAAATCTTAAATGGCACTGGATAAATCTAAACATTCCCACCCTTCCCAACTTACTTTAAATTACTGCATAATGAAGGAAAATGAACAAAGTAATTAGTTTCCCTATTAAGAGCACTAATTCTTTTAAAGAAATTAAAGAATTACTGAACATCTCCAAAAGTCTAAATACTGTACATATTACAAAGGTCCATGGTAACAGTTTACTGCACAGTAACCAAATAACCAAACACAAAACAGCTTCTAGAATAAAACTGCAATGTAAACCTGGCAAAGTAAACATGCAGCCAACTATTTAACTGCTGATAGGGTTGTTATTATTTATAAATTTGGTCCTGGAGGGCACTTCAGCCAAACTTCAGCAAAGTAGAATCCTTACTTCATATCCCTGGTTAAAATTACCATATTACTAATATAGGTGAGATTATGTTGTACATTTGCAATTAATGTGAGTGAAGTGCTTGTGTGTGTCAGCGGTGGACATCATGCTTCTACACTTAATCTGATGTTGGACGCAGGCTACAATGTCCTCATGTCTCCAGAATCCATCAACATGCTGTCATCGGTGGATCAGCCTTTCATTTCAAAACCTGCAGCCCCATGAAATACATTGTTGTACTCTATCAGCACTAATTGGAGCTCTGTGTTCCTATTTGTTATCTTCACCACAGTCTGGGTGAAGCATGGTTTATACGTTAATGGCTGGCTGGTGAAGCTGTAGTGCAACAGTCAACCTGGCAACTCAGATCATTACACATTAGCTTAGGTTTAGTGGGGATAAGTCCTTCAGCGGCTAACTGTACTTGCAAAGCAACTTCCTCAAGTTTCACTAAGAGATTTGGGTGTTCAGATCTAACACCTTCAGTACACAGTGACACTCGTATTCAGAAAAACATGGCATTTCCATTGCTGCTCCAAGAGAAAAGTAAATGTAGGAGTAGAGCATTCCTTAGAGGCATACTGACTCATGCCTGACCCTTTCAGAGGAGTCATGAGAGGAAAACAAAGATATTCACCACAGGAGGCACACTTTATGCAAAGTCAAACTCTCAAATTCAGTCCACACATCTTGCAAATATTGTTCAGTTAAAACAGGGCTTTTAGATTGCACATGGTGTACAAATCGCCCAGTGAATGAGGACGTCACTCAAGGTTGGTGAGCATCAAATTAAGCAGTATCAGCACCAATGTCTTCCTCTTAATACTAATGTAAAACAAATATACATTTTTCATTTTATTACAATATGCACATGTATTTTGCTATTATTTGTTTGTTAAGGCATCAGTTTAAAATGATTCATTCTAAGTCTTTCTCTTCTTGATTTTACCATTCACATTTCTTTACTGACTGACTCAATGTCTGTGTGTGCATGTCACATTCCAGGTCAGGGCCAGCGCCATTGCCCAAGACCAGGACCAGAGTTATGACTACGCCAGCAACAGTGTCATCCTTCATCTGGATGCAGGTGATGAGGTTTTCATAAAACTGGATGGGGGCAAGGCTCACGGGGGCAACAGCAATAAATACAGCACCTTCTCAGGCTTCATCCTGTATGCCGACTGAAGACTGGACAGGATGTGGGCTCAGAGGTCACATCTATCCACCTGGCTCTCACTGTAAGGTTAATGTTGCCAATAGCCACTGAACCACAATCACACTGTTGGTACAGATGTTTAGGGTCATGATTGATGTACTAGTAATTAAGGCTGTGGATCTGTGGCTATTGGTAACTGTCTACCTCCTCATCCATACGTTCCTTAGTATACAGGGTGTCTGTGCCACTATTAAGATGGCTGTGAGCAATGTAGCAGTGACAGTCAGTGCTACAGGATGTGTCGTGCTGAGATGCAGTAACTATTCTGACAGTGCAGACGGCCTCACCATCATTTCTGAGCTGTCATCTCAAAGTCTGGAAGTTCAGTCGTGTTTTGTTATGTTTGTGTGGTGTTTGTATGATATTGTGTTCCGGTGACTGAGGAGATATATTATATTTCATCAAAGGAAATTTGTCAAATACTGGACACCAAAATGAAATTATGATTGTTTTCAATGGCAGACAGTGTCACAAAATGTGTCATAGTGTGATGATTTGGAAATCCATGTAATATCAGTCCATTATATCTGGCATACTGTTAGTGTATAAACTATAAATATGATATTAAGCCTTGATGTCTATACCCAGGCTGAGTAGTATCGACACTGCTTATACTGTAAATCCTATTGTGTGGCTATTAAAATAATACAGCTGTGTATAGATAGTACACTTACTACATTATGTATTTATTAATGTGCACATTTGTAAAAAATGTATTTATTTAAACCATGCATGCAACATCTGTAAATGACCTGTATGTTTCCCCAAATGCTACAGACAGATACAGTGAACTTAAAAGTTTAAATATCTAGATGTGGCCTTGAGGAACATCTGTTGTAATTTTTTCATTAAAAAAGGGGCCTTTGCATTTCGTCCCACATTATATGGTGAATGTCACTCACCTCATTTGTTTCTTGATCAGCTGTTCTGATCTCTCATTTTCCAATGAAAGCAGCCTTTAGTCCTGCAAATGTGCGCAGCAAGAGGCAATCAACACCGAGATGATCACCAAAGGAGAGGGAGAGGAAATCACAGCTGTGTTTAAATGCCAAATGGAGCAGGAGATGATTGTGTTTCACAATCAAAGACGAGATGTGTTTTTTCCTGTAATGGGTATGAAGATGCTGAGATACGATGGGAGAAAGTCAGGGAACGGGTGTTAGAACATATGACAGAGCTTATATCAGAGTCAGAAAGTAATCCAGGGCAAATCGGGCTTTGCTGTGACTGTGACACAAGTGTCAGAGACAGGAAAATAGCTTCTGGGGCTACATTGTAAAAACCACTATATACTTTCTTTTTTCTTAAGAGCTTCCTTTGAAATGAAATATAAAATTATGTGGACATAATTTGCCCTTGATATGGGCAATATTGGGTCCATAACTGTCTCTTACTTAAGACTTCAAGAACAAAAGTTATGAGGATGTCAAGAAATATGGAAACCGTGACAAAACACACTTACTCAGTAACTGAAACTTATAAAAACCGAATGTCATCACAGTTACCTTTCAAAATGCCACTCGAAGCTCCATTAAATTCAACATTTTGTTGTGAGCTTTAAATTGGTGTGATAGTACCCAGTTGATTAAACTGATAGAAAGAGAGTGGATTGCCACACAGTGCGGTGTTTAACTGCTCTATGCAGTAAAGGGCAGGAAGCCCCTGGTCTAAACTTAAGCTTGTCTTAAGACAGCAGAATTCCTCCAGACACAATTAAGAGCCAGAGTCTGGGCCTAAGCAGAGGTCACCCGAGCCACAGGGCAGCTGAGCGGCAGCACAGCCTGGTTTCTTCTTGCAGGGTATATGAGCACATTAGAGACTTCATGTCACAATGTCCAAGACAAAAGCCCCCGGTCTGTGAGAAACAGATTTCACTGCTGAACTCACCGGAAGTGAATTCTGCCTGAGAGTCTGCAGAATCTGTACTTTTCCTGAAGTCAGGGAGAAAGTGAAACACACCAAAACCTTTCTTATATACAACTCTTAAGAGACCACGAGAATTCAAACAGAGGTCTGATAGCATTTGGTTTTGACGGTGACTTTAGCTGAACAACCTCCCCAACAGGACACTCTGGGGCTTGTGTTTTAATTTATGATGAAATGGCATCTGCAGTGTTTGTGGTGCTTAAACCTTTGACTCACATTTCATCTCGCCAACTTTGAACAGGTCCAGAGTTTGAAGACAAGTATTCCTCTGTGAAGTGCCATAAGCTGCTTTTTGTTGGCGTAAGAGGCGCGTCTTGGACTCGGCTGTGGGAATATTTGGAGATTCTCTGCTGTACCCTTTATCATCATGCCTAAGTAGAGGGATTGGGATGACTGTCTCTTATGCAGGCTCGTTTTAATTTAGGTAATCTTCAGCAAATGTAACTGAAGGAAATTTTGATTCATTCACTTCCACCCACTCCCTATTAGCAAACTGAGATGGCTTCAGCTTAACATTTACTGAGGCAATCTGTGAGACATGAGGCTTATCAGGCTACTGCAGCCTGCGTGTGTATGTTTGTGGGTCCATGTGTGTGAGTGTTTGGGTCGCTGTTACAGGTCAGTACGCATGTTGAGTCCATGCATCTCCCTATAGCTTCTGTGAGACAGGAGAATGCTAGGCTTGGAGAGAAAACTTCCTCTGAAATGTCTGAAGCAGCGCTAATGAACCCTTGGTGCTGTTATGGTGAGCACCCCCACTTAACTCTCCAGGGGAGAGCTAAATTAGAGATAGATGCATTAACTGTGGAGCTAAATTGCCCTTCATGCTCATGCATACTTCCTTCTACACCCACCTGCTCACGCTTACATGCCCCAGTGTTTTACTTGTACAACTGTGCACCAAGGGAGATGTTTTCTTAGAGTTATACAAAGATATTTACTTGGCTGCATTAACAAAAGTAACAAAAGCCCTAATTCAGTTGTTTTAATACTTCTGACATGACACGATTATCAGAAACACATAGGAAACATCCAAGTAGCTGCCATCCAAAGAAATAAACAGTAAGTTTTGTTGTACAGTAGTTGAACTCCAATCTAAAACACAACATACTGTACCTCGAGCAGCTGTCTGAAATGTCTGCTGACTAAAATATCTCAAGTTTGCAAAGACGACAGAAGATGTTTTCAGCATCACTGTAAACATTAATAACATGCCAACAGTCCTGTCATGCCTACACCTAGAGGGCTCTGCTAATATGCCCTGAGTGGATACAATAACGGGCAGGATTACAAGGAAGTAGCAGGGAGTAACTGATCCTCGTGAGACATTAAACTTTGTGTGTATTGTGTAAATAATGTTGCTCTCATCAGTTTCTGCTGCTTTCTAATCAGCTGTTCATCCTCAGCTTTATAGCAAAATGCTCAGCAAAACTAGAGGGGAGACTTTGTGATAAGCTCACGCAGTGCAGCCTTTTCTCTCACTGAACTGTCATTAAATTATACTGTTAATGCTTAAGAGCTCATTTGATATGATTTAGCAGGCTGTTATACAACTGCTATAACATTCACATCTGACCCTGAGAATTTGTGCAAATACTGGGTAACCAGTAGAGATAGTTTTTTTTTTTACAGTAGTGGAGTACCCTGACAGTATGGTCACAATATAGCTAAGACAATATTTCACAGGCTTTGTTATAAAGTGTTACCCAAATCTGCATCAGTGTTCCACTGCTGCCTTACAACCACAGGCCGTGAGGAAAGCACCCAGTTTGAGATGTAGACTGATTAAAGCCAAAAGGCCATTAATTTGTGGTCAAAATTGAATGTTGTGAACAGATGCAACTCCACAGTAAGTGGCAGGGGGATGAATGCACATAATTACAGGATGCAGGAGACATTGCTGTTTGTTCTCTGACACTCTTTAGAAGAACATGAGAACATGCAATGCTTCCCCCATTTCGTTCCCCATCACGATGCTTGCTAAGGCGACTGTCCAGTGTGTCAGTGAGTCAATACCAACAGCCTTGTTCCCTCATGGCCCTGACTGAGCCGGGGCTAATGTGTAGGGACAGGTTGAGTCATATGGCCCGGGATGCTCCACTGGCGTGATGCCTGTCTCTTCACCTCACTGCAATTTTGTGGATGCAGGCTGACAAGAGGACACGGAGGTGCTGTGATTGTCCCTTTCCTTAGCATGACACTAGAAGCCAGAGTTCAAGAACATTACAGTCATTACAGTTGCTGGGGCCAGTTTACTGTACCCATTGGTGTCAAGCTGCATTTGTGACCTGTTGTGATAGGGAGAGCAGGTTTCCGTACTCTTGCTTTTCTTTTTGCTTTACCAAAATGATCAAAATCTAAATTAGAAAAGAAATTTCAGCATTTCTACTGAAAAAAGTGGTCCTCAGCTGATAACTCCCAAATTCTCAAGCTAAATAATACATGGATTTAAAAGAAAATACCAGGGGGAAGTAAAGAGAAGAGCAGAGTGAATATTGAGAAGCTCTGAGAGCTATTGTGATTGACTATCCCAGTGGGCCTTGCTAACAAATACACTCTTAGCTCCTCTCCATTTGCAGATCATCAACTAGCCCTGCCAGTAATCACTAAGCCACTCCTGATGAACAAATGTGTAATGTGACTGCCTCTTAAGTGTGCAGGCTTTAAAATTTAGTTCCAAAACACCTTTGACAGATCAGTATTGCTCTTACATACACACTCGCCCTTCTCCACACACACTCCCATACATAAATGCTAATGTGTCTAAAAAGAAAATAATTAAGAAAGTCTTGCATTCATGGGTAAATAAAAAATGGCCCAAGTGCTTTTAACAACATCAGATGAATATCTAAAGTCTAAGATCAAGGATGGTACATACTTCCATTTTAAAAAAAAGCCCCTGAGTAAGAAATTCAGACAATTACCCAGAGTTGTGGCTGAGTTTGGTGCAAAGCTATTTACTGTGCTTGCCTTTGCCTGAGCTGTTTTACCTTCCCTGTCGGCAGAAGGCGGGGGTAATGATGAAAAACCACTCAGACAGAAGATTCCAAAATGTCGACACACTGTGGCGCCACGGGCCAACTCTCTGAACATGATGGTGAGATTATACAAGCCTTTACCCCCTGCCATGAGAAAATTATTTGCTCTGCTCCTGGAGAGGACCCACAACACACAATATAGCAGCGGGGAATGTGCCTGCATCCATGCATTTTACAAAGTGTAATAAGGCAACTTAAGACTTTCACCTTTAAGCTTGACACTTTCAGAATTAAACCCAATTTATATTCAGAATGAGACTTTGCCACCCTTCTCTGCCTGGAGCGTTCACACTTTCTAGCACAGATATAGTCTTCCTTCTATGCTCGGCATCTGGCTTCTGTCTGTGTCAGAGAAAGACAATGAAAACAGACACTTGGAAATCTCTGCTGAACAGCTTGATGCCCAGTAAAACATGTTACCCCCTGGATCACGGCAGAACCAGGTTTTAAAGACAGCCACCTATGAATAGGCCATAATCTTCATCATGGCTTTGAATGGAGGATACTCCACATTGATTAAGTTACAGTGGGGTTGTGTGTATTATGTGGATGATTCTATGTGCTGTATACATGTGTGTAAAAGATTACACAGTGTTTGCGATTTGTGTATTATGTATGTATCCAAACATGAGGTCGCGCAGCCTCCAGTTCACTGCCCCCCGCCCGCTGTCCGAGTCACTTTGCATTAGTTCTGTAGTGGCTTTATAAAAACAAAGAAGCAGACCAGTAGGGGCTTTAGATGGAGCCAATTGAGCCACAAACACTTGTTGGACCTCAGTGCCAGGATGATGTCACCGCGCCTGTGGGTCTGACTTTTTATGCCTGAGCTCTAATGTGAACAGGAGCAAGGACACAAGTTCATCAGCCTTCTTCTTAAGTCCTTCCACTAACACATTTGTGTGTGATCTAATTACATGAAGAATGTCAAGGTCTTAAAAAATATGATTTTAAAGTTGCTGTTTTCAATACTGTCAACAATTAGTTGACTGACTGGGAACTTTGGTATTTTTAAGCAAATATTCACTTTTTCTGGTCATACATGATTGTTGACAGAGGTTTTGGACTGACAACTGGAGAAAATAAGAAATCTGAAGACATCAACTTGGGCTGTTGAGGAATTCTAATGGGCTATGGTCAAAATTTTATGAGCAAAACAACTGATTAATTAGGGAAATAACCCACAGATTAAGCAATGTTGACAGTCATAGTTGTAGCTCTAGCTGATGTTAGGCATTACTTCTCATGTTTAACCCTTCACAACCAGTAAAAAGAGTTGTATGATATTTAGGTGGCCCTGAAAGGAGCTTTCTAAAGCTTGAGAAAATAAGCTAATGATGTCATCATGGTTATCCTGGATTGGACTTAATGTCTGACAGAAGGCCTGCTTTACCAGGTGGAGCGGGTCCAACAAATACTCCGCTGTCAAGCTGTATTATAGAGAATGTAGGATTCAGTGTTTCTGAAGCTTGACACATACTATAACTAAAAGCTCCAGCATCACACTTTGCTAAACTGCAAACTGAACCATGACCAGCTTCCATAGTTCAAATGTCACAAAATCATGTGGTTCACAGGTCATAAAGTCAGATTTAAGGTGCGGTGCAGGTCTCCTGGTGTCAGACTCTGCACAGTCATCTGCACGGTGAAGCTCAGAGAGAGGTAACAATTAGCAAAACACACTTCCAGATTCATACACTGACACCAATGGATAACTGTTAGTTGAAAACAGCGGTGCTGGATCATTTATATTTAAGTTTAGCAGCTAATGTTACAAACGTGTTTTAGCTACAAGTGAGTGTGCTAAAAAAAAAAAAAGTGCTTAAAAAAAAAACAAAAACAGTATTGACAGAGGCTTCAAGTGTAAGAAAATACAGTGATCAATATAAAGTCTGCTAATTCATGTAAATTCATACTGTTCCCATTAAAAATGGATTGTCAAATACATTCCATTATATATATATCTTCATTTTACAGGTCATTAACCATACAATCATAGCATGTTCTGTATGCTTCAGATCACTCCTATTCACCACTTTATCTTTCTTTATATGTGGACGAACGAATCCAATTTAAAACAATCTTTGCTGGGGATAGCAGGGGCATTTTGTTATGAACAATGCAGCAAACGTTGGTGCCAAATGAATTCAAATTTAAAAAAACTGCACATTTATAACTTAAGAATGTACAAACTTGTTCATTTGCTCTTTCTAATGTGTCATTTACAATTTCTGCAACCAGCCAAAATGTCTAATTGTGATGACTTCAAAAGGTGTAAAAGGTGCAGCAAAATAAAAATCTCTTTACAGTTGGGATGGCTTTACTGACAACTTGCCATCACTGGTAATGGGGGAGCTTGTACAGAAATTGAGCCTCTAAGGCATCACCTTCATATTTTAGTGTCTCTGAGGGAAAACCAACCGAAATTGCACATAGAAACCCATCACACTAAGCATATGTCAGTGCAAGTTATTTCAATAAGGTAAGGCCATATTAACTGCCAACAGTGTGTGTCACAGCACTGTAGGTCTGGGTCAAACTATTCTCACAGTAAATTGCACTGGAACCTCCAACCTGTCTTCACCTGCTTCTATTCACATCTTCACCTTTGACCACATTTTTAACCAAAACTGTTTATCCCCCCATTCTTACTTCTGTTAGGACAAAAGTAGCTTGACAGCATACAGCAGTATCCCACTCAGACCAGCACTGGCAGCAATAGCAATGACCCTCACTAAGAGGAAGTCCATCGAGTCCTCCAGCTTTGCGTGAAGCCGCAGGACCTGCCGGTGGGTGTCCTCCCGACTGCCTGAGTTCTCAATAACATGATTGGCCAAGCCACGCTTTTCATTGAGCGGCATCTGTGCAGCCACACGCTGTTCCGCCTGCTCTAGCGTCAGCCCGTCCCTCTGCATGAGGCGCGATAGCTGAGTGGCAGGGTCACTGAAAAGAAAGAGACACTGGAGGTTATTTATGGCTGCAGCCAGGGTGCCTTGTTAAAAAATCCAGAAGCAGTGTGTCATGCTAATAAGGCACAGGCAGAGCTGGAGAAAGGTAACCAATAACTCACAAAACTGGGCTTAATAGCCAGTTTCTGTCACAAACAAACTGCCAAATATTTACTGAAATGGAGAAAAAGGAATGGTGATGTTACCAGTAAACTACTACTGTGTGGTTCAGAAACCGAGTGAGGCGTCTGGTTTCAAACAGAAGGGGCACATCCAGCACCACATAGCGGTACCCTGGGAGATGGAAGAAAATGAGGAGCACTGTGACACAGAACTTATCAGTGTCAATGCATTTACCAACACTGTAAATACTGGTTGTTCATTACATTTTAAGAACATACAAGTGATGTATGACAAGTGTTTTAAGAAACGTTGAGTTAATTAATGCAGAGTTAATGGGAGTAGAGGATATTGCCGTTTTGTTTTTTTAAAATAAAGATGCACCGACTGATCGGCTACAAATCAGAATTCACCAGTTTTTAGCATGATCGGTCATGACAGATGTCCAGCTGACAAATCAGATTCTGTCAAAGGTACACACACGATGGTTCATGTTGGGCACATAGCGGCACAAATGAAAAGTGTAGCGTGTGCACTGAGTAGCATCTTGCGTGCATCTCATGTGAGGCTCACGCTCGTGTCTATACCAGGCACATTTACTTGTGCGTTGGAAGCACTTGGTCTACAAAAGATGCATAGAGGAGCTGAGAGAAACACTTCAGAGAAGGAAAAACTACATCCAAAACTCTGACAAATAGTACACAATGAGGGAATTACTGGCTACACACGAAATGCAAGTGTATGTACAGTGCATCCAACCCATGGTAAAACACTGCAAATGAAAACTACACATACTTTAAAAAGAACTGCATGTAGGATTGACACAAGACAATTTTCTGTTTCTACTACCTGCTGCACCTGTTTGTTTTAAAAAGCACAAATATTGCAGCTCATTTTTAGTTGGTTTGGAAAAAAAAGGTGAGAGAAAGGTGGAAAATGTAAAACTTAATTAATACAATGTTTTGTGTTTGTTACAATTAAATTAATTAGTGATTAACTGATCCAAACCCGATTTCTCCATCACCTCTGAGAAAGTAGAACAGGATCTGTTTGAGCATCGCTTTATGGATCTCTGGGTGGGTGATGGAATTCAGCAGCCTCCTCTTTTCCTCGCTGGTGAAGATGAGCTGGCCCAGCTTCTGCCTGTCAATCTCCCCATTTTCGAGGAGGATCTCTGGCCCAAAGTGGCAGACAATGCGGGAGTAGGCAGGAGTGTGTGGTTCCACAACTGTTTTCAGGAAAGGACAGCAATATTCAGTATTTTTCATTATTGTATCATTTTAAATGACCAAACAATGAGTCAAATTATTGACTTATGGACACTAACAGTATTATAGCATACAGAGTGAAAGTCAAACAAACCGGTTAGATCAGCAGCAAAAGAAACTGAAAGTGAAGGTATTCACACTAACAGTATTATAGCATACAGAGTAAAAGGCAAACAAACTGGTTAGATCAGCAGCAAAAGAAACAGAAAGTGAAGGTATTTAAAACAGATTCATCAACCACCTGAGTGCAATTAAACTGTGAGCCTAATATCTTATATTTTCTCCTACATGCAGATGTGTGCTCTTCACCTACTTCTGTGACCTTTTCATCCTCATCACATAACCAAGACATCATCCCTGCAGTCAGCAGAGACAGCCTTCATGATTCATGCACTCTCCAGCGTTTGTCTTAATGAACTTCCTACTGGCCTAACCTCCTTATGTCCATGTCAGCATTAAACAATGATAATGAATATTATTATTAAACTAACCATACCGAGCTTATTTGAGAGGCCGTCTCACAAAGAGGGGTTCAGCTGGATGACACTCTTAACCAGCATTTGAACTGGATTTGTATTCACGGTATAAATTGAACAGTTTGCAGGGGGGAGATATTCACACACCTTTCCTGGCCACAACATCAGCATCAATAATGGGGCAGCCAAGCTCTCGCAGCAATGAAGACACTGTGCTTTTCCCTGAAGCAATGCCTCCCGTCAGCCCCACCAGGAACATCTTAGAGCAAAGACACAGAAGAGATGCATCCACTCAATGTCGTTACAGAAAGAAGACTGTTAAAGTCTGTAATACAAAAATGTGGCACAAAGAAAAAACTTGACTAAAAGAGAACTAGCGAATAAAAACAGCAATACCAAAAGGATTGAAATTCAGTATTAGAAACCTTCCGAGACTCTCGTTGAGAGTTTGACGGACTCCCCCTGCTGTGGCACAGCGGAGCTACACTTAATTTACACAGTTCAAAACTGGCTAACCAGCTTAGGAATCGAACTGGTTTCACTGCTCCTAAAATCTGCTTTAAAGTTCTTCTGAACTATCCTAAAAGCCAAAATACACCCCGGCGAAACTTAACAGCTCCGTAACATGTGAATCGAAGCGTTTTCTACAAACGCCAGATATTTTGTTACTGTTGTCAAAGTACACTGGTGCTGTGTGCTTTTGCTTTACCTTGTCAACGTGAGGAACACCTTATCTCAACTGAACGTACAGTAAAAATCCGTACAGAAGCACAGTGGTGACAGTAAACAACAAGCATTGCTAACAAACTAACGTTAGCAATGCGTTGTTCAGGTCAAAATGACCATTAACATACAAACAAACGAAGCCAGAAATTTTCTGCTTAGTCCTATTAAATACACACTCAAATAATAATGTTACAGACCGCCGTGTTATTGGATAACATTGCATATAACTCAAGATTCGTACTCAAATGCCCGCTAACAATCTAGCTTCTTAGCCTGACAAGCGCAACCCCGAATATCTTCCGATGTCTCCCGCTCTACTAACAATTAGTTCCGACTTTCTTCTCCTTCTTATGGTGTTTATTGGCGGTAGTCCGACTTTCTTCTCCTTCTTATGGTGTTTATTGGCGGTAGTCCGACTTTCTGGCGTAACTTCAGAAAAAAGTTGTGAAACCAAAACTCATCTCTTATCCTAAAAGTGTTTATTTCACAGGAAAAATCAAGTTTTTGCATGAATTTAAACAAGTAGCACAAAGTTCTCTTTCCTGAAATAAAAAGTTACAATGGTTTTACAGAAAACAATTGGCAAATGGACAAACTTTGGCAAGTTTATGTAGGAAACGCTTAATCTGCTTTATGATCTGTACTTTGTTTTGATGTTGGCATCTCTGAAGAAACAGGGAGGTTGGAGGAATAGTGGGAATGTTTGGACCTTTTCCCTCGGTGGACCATTTCACCTCCGTTCTCCCCTTCCTCCCGCTCCAGTCTGCCTCTTTTAACAAAATGGTCTATCCTGGACTCAAGGCTCTCACAGCATGGACGCTCCAGCAATGGTCTGTAGTTTCTCTGCCTGCTGCCTTCTATTAGTGAGCAATGGTCAGAGGACAATCCACCTATGGATGGAGACCAGTGACAATCTGTAAGGTTTATGATGGACTTTATCAAGCTGTTCAAACGATCAGCATGTGTTAGAGTCATCTTCTTACCTAGACCTTGGATCATCCCATGGAGGATCTGTGCCTTGACTGCACTCTGAGTCCACTGTTGCTGCAGTGCAGACAAAACATGGTTTACCTCTTCAGCGTCCCGTTTCCAGCTCAAACCTTCAAAGTGGCAGTCATACAGCACCAGTGGGTAGTCTACTGCCATGCTAGAGACAAGAGGGAAAATTTTTAAGTCATACTGATGCAGCTATAGCTATACAGATTAGGATTTGTAAACATCTCCTAGTGGTAGAACCAAAACAACACACAACCCATTCAGCAGCAGTAATTTCACCTGTACTGGGGCTTCCTGGAGTTACTCTGAACATCTAGTAGTTGATTAATTATCTCTGGGGCTTCTAGTTTCTGCCCTATGAGGAGCAGCACAGCCATCATGCATCGTACCTACAGCATAACACACCAGCAAATTCATTGTGGTAAGAAACTGCATTTTCCACTGATCAAAGAATTCAATTCTCTGAAAGAGATTAGCTCCACAGAATGGCATATCTGAACTGAAAATACATGAACCAGTCATGTGACTATTGAAACTTTGCATTAAAATGTTTCATTATTGTAGAAGACTAATTTATAAGGATGCAATGGATTGAAATGAACAGGGTTTATGCTTAGCAGAGCTGTAAAAATCTGCTGCTGGGTAAAAAAAACAAAAAGAAAGCCAGAGCTTTTCTTCATACCTGGTGGTAAAGGAAAGCCAGGCCTTTGATCTCGAATATGAAGAGGTCATAATGGTCTGTGCTGGACATGTGCTGAGGCTGCACAGGTTTGACCTCTGCTGACAAAATGGTCCTCTCAAACTGCAGGACTCCGTTGCCCACATCCATTTTGCACAGGTTGCGAAAGTCATGAGTGCCCTCATACCTGATGGGTGTCAAGAGGTCCTCAAATCAGAACAGTGATTTCAAGATATGACTGTAGTGTTTATGACTCTGCTTTCACCCACTTTTTTGCAGCATCTGCCATCAACGCCACATCCAAGGATCCTCGGGGGAAGTAGTACCGGTACGTGCGGGACTGACAGTCAAAGCGTGCACTGAAGCCCTCTGCTACTGGTGCCCAGTCTAGGATCCTGATGTCCTGGGGTAGGACCCTGTTCAGTATCTTCACATAGGGAAGCTCAGGGACATCAGCTTTTTTCTTTGGATTTACATCAACATTTTCAGGGAGCCTGATGCCCAATCCTCCACAAAACTGTGTGGAGCGCAAATCAATGGTAATGACCTGTAGAAGAGAGACAAATTTACACCACTACAGCATAAAAACTATGCATACAAGACATTATCTGCATTTGTCTGTGTTTTTAGATAACACTGTGGAGCAAACAATCTGTATAATATATGTCACATTCCTCATTATTAGACTTACTTGGGAAAAGGCACTGACTCCTTTATCAGTGCGACCGCAGCGGTGGTAGTTAGAGCTCTGCCGGTCCTGGATCAGCCGAGTCTTCAGCAAAGCTTCGAAGAGTCTGGCCTCCACAGTATTCTCTGTGTTCTCCTGAACAGCAAACCCCTGGTAGGCCCACCCCAGGTACGCCAGCCGCAGGGCCACATGGCGTCGAGGGTGGGCAGAGAAGTCAAACGGACGCTCTTTACTTGCTTTCTTACTCTTTTTGCTGGTGCCGTTGCCACCAGGTTTGCAATCTGTGTCTTCATTAGGAGACGCACTGGAAATCATCTCCACGTCCTCTCCAGCTTCACGTCTCTCCTTCAACTGGCACTTCAGCTTCTCCAGCTCTCCCTCCAGCTCCTTTATCTGCTGGATTAAAGTCTGTGACATGCTGCTTGAAAGATAAAAGAGACCATCTATGGAAAATAATGAAAATATATGTACATACAATGAGCAACCAAGTTAGCTAGCAAGTTAAACATCCGCGTAGTCGGGTAGATGCATTCTTCATCTTCTTTTTCTTTACTGTATCACAGCGAGTTAAGTCATATAACATCTAACGTTAGTTTTGTTTGCAGCTGGACTTCAAACTCACATAATGAATGGCTGAAAGCTACATTTAGTCTGTTTGTTCGCGTGGTAAATTAGATACTGGGTGGCGGCCGAACATATCTCAGTAAATATATGCCTTTACCTTTTAATTTAAGACACAACGTTGGTGATAAAAGGTAGTTCTTCAATCACTTTTCTAGTTTCTTGGTGAACACATACTACTTTATCTGCTGCTATGGGTTTTCTAAGGCGGACCAACTTTGGGAGCGGACGTAGGTCATATAAAGGGTTTCTGGGAAATGTAGTTTACCACTTAAAATGTCCAGGCTGAGCTATTACATTTGTGCTTGAGGGAACCATGGACACGTTTTGGGTTTAAAAGTGGGCTTTTGCTAAATACGCTAAGAGGAATTAGTACACAACATATATTCTTTTATTTTAACAATCTCTTATTTTAACAATTTTATTGTAAATATTAGGTAGGTTTTAACACAGGTTCAGACAAATTGAACCCTAGAGTGTTTGATATACTGTAATGTTCTTTGAACCTTAAGTCCTAGAGACAAGATGTAAATAATCTTTACAAATCTAGCACTTAGAAATCATTTTGTGCATCTACATGTAGAGCTCTCCGGTTAAGGTACCAAGTGATGCTGACCTGTTATCACAAATCTTTTTTTGAAAATTAGCTTGAAGGGAAAATATTAAGGGTTCTTAGTTCACATGCAAAATCATACAACAATGACACAGTATTATACATTTATTAACCATATTCATTTTAAGCCTGAAATTTAAATGTCAAGACCAAGCCCAAGAATCTGATAACTGGCATAGTCACAGCCGGCAAACATCAAATAGCAATAAGATTCCTTTTAGTTTTTTTCATACACAGTTAGAAATCATACTCATTTCATTATTGATATTACTTTCAACAATAATTCAATGTTAAATAACAAAAATAATGTGAAATAAAACAAGAATTCAAAATGACGAAATTAGAGCTACTATAAATCAAACAGCAGCAAATTTGTTGTGATATAAATCACAGACAATTTGTAGTTTAGAACGAATAAACTGGAAAATCAAATTTGACTAAAAAAGCAGTGAAGATGAGAGGCAGATGTGCTTAGGCATGAAGATGCATCAGCTAGATTTTCATAACGCTTCCGTTTTATCTTCAGACACAAGCAAGTTCCAACCAATACTCCAAAAACCTGTACCAGGAAAAAGGTTATAAGTTAATTGCAGTAAGACATGGGTCAAAAAGGTTATTTTATCTAAATTAAAAATTAATTCTGGATATCACAACCTGGGGCACTCAGGATGCGGTAGGCTTTACTGTCATTCACGCTATCCTACACTTACTTTTCAAATGTCTACCTTTGCTTACATGAACATTTTCCAGGCAAATTGTTGGAGCAGGCACACAAATTATTGACTAAGATAATAAACATTTTTTTTTACCAGGTGTAGAAAATGAACAATAACACTACCTCTGTGACTCCAAGAGAGATGCACACAGCACCGACCCACACCAAGTTTTTCAACAGAAAGGGCTTGATAGCCCAGATACAACCCTGAGGAGGAACATACATAAACTAAATGCAGGCGTTCACAGAGACTGAATGAGGAGGCTGTGAAGTTAAAATTAGATTTCCCAGCAGACCTTAGTGTGCACTTTTGTCTTGTCCTTTCCACAACCCTTAGTCTTCACCACACAGCAGGAGTCTGGCACAGCATCACGGTCCCCCCAGCCCACACTCTTGGACCAGTCAGTGTAGCTCTCTGCACCACAGCAGCTGAACTGTAACATAGTGTACAACCCATGAATTTGCACCTGTGTAGCTCTGTCTGTTCATGGTGCACTGTACAAATGACAGATTCTTCAGTAGTGCTTAGAGCTGGGCTTTAGAGTACTTTTATTTTCCAGTTATGTGCAAATTGTCAAATAGAAATAAATGTAAAATTAATGTCAGTGTTATAGCTTTGAATATTTCAAATAACCATTAGAAATACTTTGCACTCATGTGGACAACCAACACTTTATTATTATAAAAAATAGCTGTTCCCAAATGTATTTAGTCAACGCTCAAAATATTTTCTACAACCTCTGTGGTATTATGAGTGTCAACCAGGCACAGATGGAAAATTCCCTGGGGCCTCATTCCTTTGGGGGGCGTGTAGCAATACATGATGATACGATAGCAACCTTAATGAGATATCTATCTATCAAGACAACACCTTGTAGGGGGATTAAAATATGCTTTTTAGGATGTATACTTTCACTGCACCAATTTGCATCGTCAAATTACCCAAAATAATTTTTACTATTATATGGGTATGGGAGAAACAGGGGCTCAGAGGGCTCCCACCTTTTCTTTTGCCTCTGGGCCAACTAGCAGGTGAATTAAGCCCTGTATCATGTACTACAAACCATAAAGCTCTGAATGTCACCTTTTCCTGAATCCTGTTGATGGCATGCCTCTTCTCTAGCCTGTAGTAATAGATCTCTCCTTGTGCTTTGCTGCTGATTGTACTATTTATCTGTAGGATGGCAGTTTATAGAGAAAACGTGGTTAAAATATTGCCATGAGCAGCACTTTTATTAAAGGGAAATGCCACCTCTATTATACCTTAAGAAACATTGTTAATGGTAATTTTGATCACACTGAAATTATTGGGTCAGGATTCAATTGTCTCACCCTGCTGTGGAACATGTAAAAGGCGGCCCCTGTGAGTGTCTCCAGAATGATGATAACTATCAGGATGCAGATGTACTAGTTCATGGAGAAACGGAGTGATCATTGTCAGAGAGCAGGCATGTCCCATTTCTCTTAAATACACCTTACATGTTGGTTATTCCATATCTATTTAAACATCTTTGGTGGCTATTACAAAAATGTTTGGACAAAAATCCAAAATCAAAATACTGACACCCAAAATCTTTCCTTGTCCCACAGATATGTTCTTACTAAAATCTATGACAAGACATTGTCAAACCCATTATGGAACATTATGTTACATACACAAACCACCACTGAAGAATTGTTCATGAATGCCCCAAAATAGCCTACGAGGGAGATGAGGGCTATGGTGACACCAACTGCAATGAGGACTACAGCGATTTTAGACAGGCCGCCTCCTGCAAAAGTACCCATCTGAGAGTAAATCGAGTACTGCAGTGCTCCGATAGTGATGAGGGCAATCCCGGATGCCTGAAAACAAATTTAACACCTGGACATTAATACAACACTTCACACAGCAATATAAAATCCCTGGTGGTTTAATGACAGTCGTGTGCCAAGCTGCTGTAATACAGGACTAATAAGGTGAAAACTAAACACATTGTAATTTAACCCACCTGTTATGTTCATTTCTCAGGAACAGCAGTGACGTTTCTGGGTTAATTTTACCATTACTAACCATTTCAATCACCATTTAGTGCAATGGTGTTCTTTACCTCTCACAGATTATGGTTCAATGAGGAAAATGCACTCGTTTTTCATAAAACATGCATGTTAACTTTTTTTTAATGTACACTGGAAAGACCTACGTTTAAAATACGTTATTTTTACATGACTGATTTTTTTAAATTTTATTTTACATTTTGAAATCTTTTCTTTTTATGAAGTGATGTTGATAAATTAACATGAGACACCTCTTCTGTTCAGGGTCAAATTCACCCACACAGTATCTTTGTAATATAAACATGCAGGGGAGGTTGCAAATATGTGAACATTTTATATGTGGATTACACCTATTATGCCAAGCAGAAGACATTTCTTACTAATAAAATACTTTTAACTATTGTTTTTAGATTTTTTTAACTGTGCAACAGGTCAATTTGACCTGCACCATAACAGGAGGGTTAAATGTGTTTGACAAACCTACCAATTAGTTCCACTCCCCCTGCACCTTGCGAACAGTACAAGTGTCAGACAAATGAAGGATTACAGTTACAGTAGACCTCTGGTACTTCTTCTTAGCACTTTATAGACAGCCATATATTCTCCTCAGAGGGATGTTCTGTAATATTTACATCACACAATTTTGGTATAGCATAATAAAACTGATGCATATCATTTCAAATTAAATAGGGCAGAAACTCCATTACTCCTCTACTACCACAAATAATAATAAAAGACAACATTTTTAGAAGCCAACTTTACTTATTCCAGTATTTATTTTAATTATCAGTGTTTACCAATCATCACCATTCCCAACACTTTCATGCATCGATTAATAACTTAAATTACTTACCAAAAAGAATGTATTAAAGAAAATAAACCAGCATTTGATGCTGCAGAACTTGCACATTGTGAAGACTTGACGCAGACAATCCGGTTCGTTTGAGGAAATGTATGTACTGTGTTAAAAGGTGAGACCAAAGAGACCGTGACTGTCCTCACTTAAAGGTTTGAAGAGAAACAAGCTGAGCACTTAAACATAATTCAGTCAGGTGTGCTTAGGAAAATGGTGTCCTGATAACATTTAAATTGGCAGGTCGCACTGAAACATACAGTCTCTGTTTGGCTGTATGAATAGCACTGAAGTGACAATAGCAGCACACCCTGGCTCTAGGGGGCAACTGTGGTTCAGTGGGTAGAGCAGCTGTCTCAGTTGAAGGTTCAGGGTCGGAGGTTCAAATCACGGTGCCTGCAGTCCATATGTCAAAGTGTCCTTGGACAAAACGCTAAAACCCCAAATTACCCCTGATGGTTAGAGCCATCGGTGTGAATTGGCACCGCAGGTGGCTGCCTCAGTTCTGTACCGGAAACAAATCTTGTGTGTAACGTACTTGGCCAAATAAAGGTGATTATACTTATCTAATGTGAATATAGGTCGAAAGCCAAATGAATAAGCTTGTATTTGACATATATTTTACATGCACACATCATGGGTGTGGCCACGTTACATGCATTTAATAACACAGAAAAATACATCAGTATATCACAAGATAAACTGTAATTTAAGTTTTGAAGATGCTAAAAAAAAAAAATCAAAATTTTTCTTACTGTAACTTCTAAGCTTTTGTTTTATGTGTATATGTTAGTGTATATATATATAAAGTCTTCAAACAAATATAAGCCATATAAATAAGTCTCTCATCATCTTGTCCCAGTAAAACAAAATCTGAAAATATCAATGGAACATAACTCTGCATTCTCAAAGAAAAATTTAGTTCCTCTCTGCCACAGCTCAAAGTGTCTGTGTATTTGAAGACATCTGACCACTGGACCTGGCGTCTTCCATCCGTTTGAGGACAAAGCTCTTCCCTAGAGCTTCTCCATCAACATATGGATCTGCAGGGAACCTCATCCAACTCCTCAGGCTGGAAAAAGTCCAACCAAGGCCTCTGGCTGCAGCACAATAATCTCTATCACAGTAACCTCGGCGTGAGTGGCCGTGAGGATGCTTGTGACATGCTGCCAGGGTATGTGCTGCCCTTTTTTCTGTCTCCATCTCCTCAGTCTTTTTCTCCCAGTTTTCTGTATTCTCAGAACTCAAGCCAGAGAGCATCAGGATGTAAAGGACCAGGCTGCTTTCAAATTTTATACTTAACATCAGAATGTCTGTTATTAACGCTGCCAGAGCGGGCTCTTTAAACATATATAAGGAAAAGATGATAACAAAACACTCAGTTGCAGGCTGAGTCACTTTAGAGAGGGTTGTTGAGAATAGACTAGTTTATCTGTTAGAGGACATGAGTGTAGTTTTGTCTCTCTTCTGCTCAACCCTGACTGTTTGCCCATGACGCCTTATCCCTTGATCTCATTTGCTTGTAAAGAAATGCAGCCTGAGGCGTTTGAGAAAAATACATTTGGAGTTTAGTCTGCATTAGTTTAGCTGTCTAAACATTACCATAGATTTAGCTATTTCCAGTGCTCATGTGAGGACTGTAGTGGACCATATTGGACTTGGTTTGACTATTTTCTGCATGGCCATTAGTGATGGGTGACAGCTTTTTCTGATTTCTGCAGTGTGAGGGGTACAGCCACTGGGGGCCCATATGACTGTACAAAAACCTTCAATGAATTGTCAACTAATTAGAAGCACGCTTCATTAACTTTTAGCCTGCCTTTGCTCTGATTTCATGAAGTGATGGAGTCTTGTATGTGTTTCAAGGAGTTTGTGGCAACAAGATGAAAATGATTAACAGCCTGCATGTCTTACAAGTACTTCATGGAAACAGGAAGTAAAGTGATTACCATAGTAGGACTACTATGTTACAGAGTGAGAAGATTGTCCGTCCCACTCTTTGCTTTTCCTGTTTTGAATTCCATTAGACTTGATAAAGACCGTGTTTTATTTCCACTTGAAGAAGAGGTGGGGCAGTTATTCACTGCTGCTATTCACTGTATGGAATATTGAGATCTTTCTAAAGAATGTTACAAATCTGGCAAGGCCTATACTCAGTGCTGACAATACATACAGTACACAGTATCTACATGTTTGGCAAAACTCAGTTAAGCTCAGAATCTCCCACAAGGATGTGTAAACAAAAACCTGCATGTAAAATTTGTAACGTATAAAAACAGAGGTGAAATCCAAACTACAGTGAGTGCACTTCAGCTCTTAGGGCTAGCTGATGAGATAGACTGGGCTAAAACTACCCACTTTAAGTTTTCATGTACATCGAAAATAAGTTTTGATGTTCCACCATCTTTGTAACTGAGTTTGAGTCACGTGAGATGAGGTGGTTATTCTACTTTGAAATCACACATAACATATTAAGTCTCACATTTCGCTGATAGAAAATCAAAAACAACTACAAAACAGAGATAAAAATCAAGCAGCATTGCAGAATAGACAAGCATAAGCTATATTCCTGTGTAGCCTACTAGCTTAGCGGAGTAACTGTGGGCGCAGCCTCTGTCTGCAGTCAGTCACACGGTTTTACATGAGTACTTTAAAATGACATATTCCATTTTCCTGCTACCTTTAGAGTTCCCAAACATGGAGTGTGGTGCCTAAATTGTTGACTAAAAGGCTTTTTTAAACAACCTATATACTGTAAGTGTTACACAATTTGGCAAAAAATCTTAAATTCCATCCCTTCTTCTCAACTGTCTTTTCATGTAGTTTCTGCACTCTGCCTTGCATCAGCCTCAAGCTTTTATTTATTGAGCCACATCTGTGTAAACTGTTTTCACTTAGAATAAAAAAAAAAGAAAGAAAATGTTTGCGCCTGTGTGTAAATCTCCATTTGTTAATCTCCAACAGTGATTTACCAAACTGTAAACATACTGTGGACATGTAGTCCCTTTCAGTACATATTACCTTGCAGATCCGCCCAACCAATTTACAACTGGAGGTTACTGTTTATGGTCACATGGGTACACTTCCTTATTTTTATTCAAAGAAACTCAACCCCAGAAATCCATGTTGGCACACTAGAGTAAATGCTCACAGAAAGCTGTCCTACTGGCTCATCTTGATTCCTTCAGTGACTGGTGGCGGGGCTCAACCTACAGTTTGCTAAATGTTTACAGGGACTAGGTGTCAAAAACCCAGCAGTTGCTCCTTGGGAAAATCTGTGATTATGTTTGAGAAGAGAAGTTCAATCTTTATGAACCATGCCACCAGGTAAATATACTTTTTATCTTTCTGTATTTTGTTTATCACTATCAACCTTATTCTTCCCTGTTTCGCTTCAGCTTGTTTTTTCTCTCCCACCCATTTCCTACTCTTGCTTGCCATCTTTTGTGTTTTTTTATCATGTTTTGTCTTTCCTCTGTCTTTGTTGTCAGTGCAGAGGGACAGTAGGGACTGGATATGTGTGTTTTTAATTGGCCTTCAGAGAAAACCCCCTGTTTCCTGTGCACCCTAGGGCTGAGGGTCGGTAGTAATTTCAGAGGCAGTCTTAAAGCAGAGGCTCCTCCTGTTAGCTTCTCAGAGGATGCATTAAAAGAAACAGCGTGAGTATGCAACATATCAGCTTCAAACCATACTAATAATCTCTGTCAAACAAACCGAAACCAAGAGAAGACCCAACTGAGGAGTGACTGTGGGAAACACAGCTGTTGTTTGGTTAACATTTCTACTCAAGGATGGACAAGGATGACAAGAAGTCAAACACCTTCGTGTCCACTTTTCGGTTGGCCCTCAAGCCTCAAGCCAAATCTTTTAATGTGGGAAAGAAAGAAAATGAGAATGTCTTGGATACCACTGACAGGATGGCAATGGGAAACAACAAACTGGGAGTCTCGTCTGCAACAGGTAAACACTTGAAAAGTTGACTTAGAGACCAGCTCAACTATTTTTATCATGACACTTTTAATTCTTAATGTTAATGAACTGGAATCCATGTTTACTGTTGCGACATAACTGGAAAGCATTCATAAAATTTGTTACAGTTACACCACAACTTGAGTCACAGCTCACTTCAGCCCCTGCAGGAGCTTCATGTTTTAATCTGAACTTGTTTAAACTTTCGTAGGAGGGCACTGCAATGGCCTATCGGGGAGACCAGGAATACTGGATTCTGTTATTTGTACTGTATGATGAGGTTAGCTTCCTTCAGGCTAAGTCACTGCTTGTCAAAATAAGACACAGGGTGCAGCTTTGAGAATAATAAAATTATTGGGAAATGTATTGTTACTGTAGTTACTGTGGTAGTGTAAAGGTCAGAGGTGGCCTTAGGCAAATGAGTGTATAGGGATGACATGCAACCGCTGGACCCCTTCCAAATGCATGCACACATACTGATGGCATTCCACCATCCTCTGGTGACCACCCATCCTGCAGAATATTCCAGCACCAAAATACACATGCACAAACTTGCATTTGGTGGGAATATCTTGCAAACACGTCAGATTTCCTAGCCACAGCTACCTGATAATCTAATGCTGATCTGCCTGGAGGCAAAACAGATGAATATCATACTTCCCCATCAGCCTGAAGTTCTCCTTTTTCATTTTTTTGACTGAATTAGCATTTGTGAGTCTCTGGTGGAAACACCCCTAAATATACATGTTTGGCATGCCATAATGACTGCTGCTGAAACATTAGCTAAAGATTTTAGGTTTGGATAAGTTGGCCCATGCTGATTGGTCAGTGATAGGGGAAACATTGGTGCATACTGTTAGCAAGCCAGTGAAGCATGGCTGAAAATAAAATTCATTGTCCTTGACTTCTCCTCTCTGTTAAGATGCCAGACAGACACAAGTGCGGGCCCTGGCATTGCCTCTCATCAAAGAACCACTCCAGGACTGTACAGTCTGTGAAGGAAGTGATGCTACTTTTCAATGCGTTATCACAGGAAGTCAGCCTCTGAGTGTGTCCTGGATGCACAATGGCAAGTAGCTGATTACCTTGAAAATGCCATAATACACAAGGAAATGATGCTAAAATATGTCAGGAAAAACTATTATGTGAGGGTTGAATAATTTTAATAATTATCACCTACAATGAAAATATGCCATTGTAATGTTGTCATTTAGGTGTGAGGCTACAGTCAAGTAATACTTCCTTCAAAAATGGTGTTGCCAGTCTGGTTCTGACCCAGTGTTCTTCTGAAACTGTGGGGATGTACACCTGTGTAGCTGAGAATGCTGCTGGAAAACAGTCAAACAGTGCTGTGTTGCGGGTCACAGGTAATTCTGGAGTGATGCGTGTTGTTAGAAATTCCTCATAAACATCAAACAGGCCCTGCCATACAATTAGTCTTTAAATGAATCATGTTGAATCGATCTGTGTATTTAAAAAAAAAACTTGTTCCCCTTGTCTGCAAAGGAACAGAGGAAATCCCCAGACAAATCAACAGTGAGCTGCACAGTGAGGTCACATCCAAGGTGTTGTCACATGAAAACACTCAGACGTCCTTAGCTTCCAAAGTGAAAAGCCAGCACAAAGAAGGAAATGACAAAGGTAGATGGTTAAGTTTTGTTGAGCTTAATTGAAACAAATCTTTGTATTGTTACATACCCATCCACTTCTCTTTGCTTTTCTTCCTGCAATGAATAAAATTCCACAATATAAAAACAAATTACTAGTAAATATATTGATAATGCAGGGCAGGGAAATGCAATTCAATGGCCAGCAAACACAACTGCTCATACACTATGTGATCAGTTACATATTTCTTAACTCCGGCTACACTGCATCATCTACTTTTTCAGTCTCAGTTTGATAAATCTGAGATATCAATCTTCAAACAAAGGCGAGGAGAGGACTAAATGCTAAACAAACAAATTGCCTCTTCTCCCTAGGACCTGTTGTCGACTTTCTAGACCCACCTGAGCAGGTGGAGGTTCAAGTGCGACAGCGGGCCCGGCTTCACTGTGAGTTCAAGAGCAGCTGTCTTCCCGTGGCCTGCTGCTGGATTTACAACAGGGACAAAGTAAGAATGTTACACTCCCTGTGGTTGTTGGTATTCATCCAAGTGTTTATAGTCTGTCTTTAAAACCCTTTGTCTTCCTCCCATCTTCCTCTTCAGGTGATAGTAGGAGGGCCGCGGATATCTGTGAGGAGCAGTGACACCCAGAGCAGCGTGGAGATCTCTCAGGCCTGTCCACAAGACACAGGCTCCTATACTGTCATAGTACGAAACCAAAAAGGCTCTGCACAGCACACAGTTTATCTCAGTGTCATAGGTGAGACTCACCTTTGGTTGACAGTTCTGTCTGTATTCAGTGTTTCCTAGTGACCTGAGATGATTAGTAGTTGTTGTTCCCTAATGCCATGGAGAAAAGAATGGTGATATTTTTTGCTGCACATGAAGTAAAATTATTTGACAAAAATCTTACTAACAGAAGAGGAAAAAAAAAAAAGGGAGGCTAGTAATATTCAAACCCATGCAGTATTTTGGATATTAACTATCCCAAAAAGCTAATGAATAATAAATAGTGCTAAAGGGGCTTTAAATGATAGCTATCTCTGTTTCAGATGCACCTGTTGTTTTGTGTTTTGTAATATGAATAACAAACGTTCAATTACTCATCAGATCGACCCAACCCACCAGCATCCCAACCTGTCATTTCCAAGCTGTCCACTCAGTCCCTGGTCCTGTCCTGGATGGGACCTGGCTTCGATGGAGGCTCGGCTGTGTTGGGTTACATTGTGGAGGTCAGACAAGAGGATCCGGGCAAGCCTGGGAGCTGGACTGAAGTTTCGAGCCTTTGTAAAAACACATCCTACCATGTATGCACAGGTCTGGAGCCTCTGGGACAATATCGCTTCCGTGTCAGAGCCTACAACTCAGCGGGGATCAGCAAACCGAGCCAGGAGTCCGAGTGTGTCAAGATGATGACTATAAGTGAGTGATATGCTGGATTTATAATGTGAGGATTTAAAAAGAGGCGAGGCCTGTCATGAGATCTTTCTATTTTGTGTGTTAAGAGGAAAAGAACGATGAGCCCAAGTCATACGTCACAATCACCACTGACACAAAACACAAGGTCACAGACCACTACAATGTGCATGAGAAACTGGGAGTGTAAGTGTGGATTCTTTGCATTTAAAACTAATTTTAAAGTTTGATTTACCAGATGGATATACAGTTTAGAACATGTAAATTGTCATTAAAGAGACTGAAAACACTTCCAACACTCATTCAAGCTGTAATGTGCTTTATTTGTTTTGGATTTACCATTTTCAGAGGAAGGTTTGGCAAGGTGTTCCGGTTGTCCCATAAAGAGACGGGGCATGTGTGTGCAGGGAAGTTCTACCAAGCTCGAACTGCCAAGGAAAAGTCTGCTGCCCGCAAAGAGATTGAACTGATGAACTTTCTTCATCACCCAAAACTGGTCCAGTGTCTGGCTGCCTACGACACCCGCTCAGAGATAGTCATGATCATGGAGCAGTAAGTGACTTTTGTCTAGAACCAGTTTTAAATTTGAGAGACCCAGAGGTCATCAATTGTGGAACTAGAACATGGTGAAGGGTTAATTTGTTGTTTGGCTGACAGGGGTATACAAGATGATATCACTGGCATAAAAATTGTCATTACAGTTAGAAAATAAATATTATTTATGTGCAGAGTAAATAGCAATGGATCAAATTTTGATCCCTGAGGGATACTTTTATCACTAGTTTGGGGACATGATTGGTAACAACAGCTTGAATGTTATCGGAGAAATATGATTTAAGTTGTGTCTTTGATGTATTTGACTATTTGGGATTCAAATACAAGCTATCAGTATATCTTGCACAAATGGCAAAATACTGTAGTGTGGAATAAATGACTAGGTTGGGATAGTCTGGATTACAGCTGTTTACAAATAAAATTTGTGTCAGTTAATGTGACAAAGTGATGCCAATAACCTGAAACATTTTCATCTGATAAAACTCCATAGTATTTTTAAAAATACTGCAGAATATAGGAGCTAATTTTTGATGGACGGACCTGAACAGCTTTATTTGTCTTTCTAGCATTGCAGGTGGGGAGCTCTTTCAACGCATTGTTGATGAAAACTTTGAGCACACAGAGCCCACCAGTGCCCGCTACATGCAGCAGATCCTGGAGGGCATGCAATACGTTCACAAGCAGAACATTGTGCACCTGGATCTCAAACCAGAGAACATTATTTGTGTGGACACCACTGGTACACAGATCAAGATAATTGACTTTGGCTTGGCTAGTAAACTGGGTAAGATTTATGGATTTGTAGGAACTCCTCGCATGGTAAAACTGAAGCAAAATTCATTCATTGAAAGGAAAGTGAAAGTCCAACTTGAAGAACAAAAGTGATGTTCCAGATAGTGCAGGTCTACTCTGGGTGGTCTGTTTAGAGATACGGTGCCATCTGTAAATAGGCTAATACAAACAAACAAATACAAAACATTTTGAAAGTCTGGGTGTGTTTCTTCCTGTTCTTCAGACGAGGGTAAACCACTACTGGTGATGCATGGTACGCCGGAGTTTGTGGCCCCTGAGGTGATCAACTATGAGGCTGTGGGTCTTGAGACCGACGTGTGGAGCATTGGAGTTATCTGCTTCATCCTGTAAGTTAAACCATTACATAGTGGTTACAACTAGAGCGGTAACATACTCTAAAGGGAAAAAATAGAGCATATAACACTTTGTAATTGTGATTTGTGCATAAATGTAAATCTTCCAAAGATTTTGTTGATCTGTTTTTTAATTTACCTTTTACTTTAACATGTCAACTATGGAAAAATCAAAGTAGTTAAAAGTGACAGGAGTACATCAACACCTTGGACTGCTCAGATGATATAAATGTAATGAGGTAAATATTAAAAACATTCCAAACCCAAACTCAGTGGCTCTACAGACGCAGATTTGGCCCCATCTGCTGGTGCCGTCTTGATATTGGTCCTAAGTAATATTAGCATTACAGTTTTTTTTAGTATGAATAGTTCCAACCAAATATGGTAGTAGCATGACATTTACCTGGAAAAATGTACTCAAAATAATAAAATGATCCAGTTACTGTTAGCTTCCCAATCAGTGTTAGTTTATAAAGACATGGAGGATTTGCTGTTTGTGAATAAACATGACACTCCTAGGCAAACTGCAAACCTGTCTGAGCTCATGTATATCATTGTTATGTGTCCTAGGCTCAGTGGAGAATCTCCGTTCCAGGGGAACAATGAAGCTGAGACTTTGGCTCTTGTGACAGCTGCATCCTACGAATTTGACGAGGAGAGTTTTGAGGACATCTCAGATCAAGCTAAAGACTTTATCAGCTCCCTTCTGAAGAAAGACCCGAGGTCGGTTTGTTTGTTGTTGTTATTTCCAGTGACACATCATCCATAACAAATTGTTGCTATGGTTACCAATTAAAAGGTTTTGAGCTCAGTACCAGGGAGAAGCAACTACAAAAGCAAAGAAAATAGATGAAATGCTTTGATTCTCTTCAGCTGATAATGAGATATGAATTCCTTGTGACATTTCCTACCATTGGCAGAAACTTTGCATGCTACTAAACCATCTGGCAGGCCTTTGTTTCTCACTCTTTGTCCAATTTCATGAAAGATGTAGGCTGTCATGCACCCAGGCCCTAGCCCACCCCTGGATGGCCTCTTTTACTCCACTGACCCGCAGATCCACCAAATCCCTCAATAAAGAGAAGATAAGACGCTATTTGGCAAAGTGCAAGTGGAAGGTAACACAACAAAAAAATGACTATAATGCTGTTAATCCAGCGTTTGACAGGTGTAGTACAGTTTTCTAATCCATGTGTACCTATGATTACCTTTTAAATTCATTGTTTTACACAGACCTGACCTGGTTGTTAGAGTGGTTTGACATCCAGTGGCATTTGTCTTTTAAATTTCTAGAAAACTGGCAAAGCAGTTTTGGCCCTACAGCGGATGGCGCACCTCTCCAACAGGCCAGAGTCTCCTGGCAGCTCCTCAGAGGGTAAGACAGATAAAAGAGATACACATACACAATTCTTGCAATGTACAAGAGCTGCATACAATATGGCAGACGACTCACAGTTCTAGATTGTCCCTTCAAGTTTAGCCCTTTGTGATTAGTATAGCCTCGTTTCCATTTTATTCATCATCATTTTCATCTCATTCAGAGCCAAGCTGGAGCCAAGAGGCAGAGCAGGCCATCCAGTCGCTGGATAAGCAGCTTCAGAGTGAACCTCGCTTCCAGCAGGTCCTGAAGGACATCACGCTTCCAAAAGGAGCGACCGCTCAGCTCAGATGCCTTGTCAATGGTAGAGTGACACTTTATTCTATAATGCCCCACCACATTCTACAAAGCCATGGACAAAAGAAGAAAAATTGCTGTCTGAAATGCTTGGATTGTACCAGAATGAGATCTAAACTGGCTTAACTTAAAGATGGTCTAAGATGAATATTTTTATAGTAACTAACTACTTGTGCAAACTGTTTCAGCATCTTTCAGCTCATTCTTTTGATTTTTATAGCTTTCAACTGTACTGTACCTCTAATCTGTACCTTCAGACAGAGCCAGGCTCGCTGTTTCCCGTCTTTGGCCTAAAATGGCTGCCGGGTGTAGCTGCATATTTAAGGGATACACTTTTATACTCATCTCTCTCTCTGCAAAAAAGCAAATAAGAGTATTTCCTAAAAAGTATAAATTTTCTTTAAACTTAGATCTTTTAGAAAAATAAACAGACAGTGACAAGCTTGAGCTGTTGTAATCTTTGGCTCTGTCATTATAAAAGATCTCTATAAGCCTGGGTAATATTGAATACCGTTGTATCAAGATCAGAGATCTTTAAAACAACAACTGAGACATTTGGTATATTTCTTCATTTCTGTAGTAATATTTTGTATTTATTCTAGGTTACCCACGGCCAGGGGTGAAATGGTTCCAGAATGAGAAGCTGTTGTCACAGTCGAACAGAGTGACCATGGAGCAAGATGAAGACGGGCTCTGCTCTCTGGTTCTGGCTGATTTAGAGCCTTCTTACTCAGGGGTTTATGTGTGCAGGGCCAGGAACAAGCTGGGGGAAGCAATGTGCTCTGCCAAACTGAAAGTGGAGATGTGAAGGAACATGACTGGCACCAGGAGGCACATTAACAATTTAGGATTTATTTCATTTGTAAGGGGACTTTGCACATGAAGACTTATTTGATACTGCCACGCAAAAGGATGCTTACAAAAAATTCAATGCAAAAGGAAGGGGTGTGCTGTGTTCTTCTGCCCTTTGGGGCTAAGGTTTGGACACACATACCCAGAACTCTTTGTTTCACGTCACCAGGGCACTTACCAAGTCTGTGCTGTTAAATGTTGGGTTAAGATGTACAACTACCAGTGCACAGGGTTCTGTTTTCCTGAAATAAGAGGATACCATGCTACTGTGGCTCAGCTAGGCACTGTTCACACAAGTCACATTAAACCTTTTGCACTTTTTAAATAGTGTTCAGATTAATAATTTACCCTCATTCAACTTGACAACTACACTGATAATATTACAAAATGTCCTAATTAATTACACATATTTCTACAATGCAATTCTCCTTGTTTGGTAACTGAAAAGGCCTCATTAGGTAATAGTACAGAATTTGTTAAAATATTCCCCAAATTATGAAACTACAAAGATAACGACATTTAATTTTATGAGAATAACAGCATTTCATACAATATCTCACCTTTTCCGCATTAGATGCTTTTTTTACGCTACATTCATATTGATTATACTTACAAAAAGCAGAACTTGTAAAGTGTCATCGGCCAACAAGATGCTTTAGTCTTGAATTTACGATTGCTAGCATCATTATTTAAACAGTATCGATTTTAATTCATGCCATTAATGAAAACAAATGTTCAGTTGAAGACAGACCTACACTCCTTAGGATAAGATAACACTTTATTATTCCCAAAAAGGAATTCCACCTTGCACACCGCACAAACATCTAGTGTTTGAGATCATTTTTCCTCATCCACTCATTTTTCAACTAAATATATTAAAAATAAAAACAGCATTTAAAAACCAGTGGAAAGTAAATCAGGCACTGAGTCTTGGTCAAAGATATGTGAGAGCATGTTGGGGTCACTGAAAGCGACTCTCACTTCTTTCTAAGGTCGTGTCCCCTCGTTTGGGTCAGTCGTTGTCCCTGGGCCTGACACATACATGTTCTGTATACATCAGTCACAGCTGAGATGACGGGGTGACACACACACTTGCCCACGATCCCTCTGGCCTCTGTTTGATTCTCTTCTGAAGGAGATTCCAAGCTTTTAGTAACTTTAAAATAAAGGACAATGGAAATATTAGCACAAAAACTATACCATGTAATGCAGATGTATGGACGCTGTACTGATGATGTGTGTCTGACCTGTTTCTGCGTAACCTCTGGCTCCCACAGTGTGCTGAGCACTACGTTGGCGTGTTCTACTTTTTTGTCGTTGGACCACTGGTTCTGCAGCCGGCGCAGGGCATCTTCTGTGCTCACACCGTCCCGCTCTGTTATCCTTAACACTGCCTGAGAGCGGAGGGCAAACAAGGAGAGACAGGTGGATAAGGTTAACCGGGTGTTCCTGATGGCTTTAAAACCACTGCGTGAAGAATTTCCACCATTGGCCCCCCCTGTGGTAGTGTCCAAAAGCAAACTAGGGCAGACAGCAATGCATCGGTAATACAGCTAAAAAAAACTAAATGTAGTGAAAAAATGTACTTAAAGTACTTTAAAATGTAGGGTTCTTTTATCCATTAGCTTTCTTCACCACATCCTTGACACACCTGTGCATCAAGAAACTGTTGTACCACTGAGTGAACATTAGTGCTCTGAATCAAGCATAAAGTAAATAACGTTTTCCTTTCTGTGATGGGATGTGAGGCAGTCATCAAGTTTACACCGACACATTTTCCTCACAGTCTATCAGGCTGATGAAACACCACATTTGCCTTGTTGAGTTCTGCAGGTATAAACACATTACCTCCTCCTCTGGGATGATGGTGACCCAGACCTCATGGACCATGTCTGTCCAACCTGCCTCCAGAAGAACTGCTGCATCCATCACACAAACCTGTTTACCTGCAATGAACACACTACATGAACACTGGGGAAATCTCTTCTAATACAACGTGAGAGTCTGATTGATTTATTATCTGTGTATCAGTATGTTGGCCTACCTAAAGGACACTGGTTAAAACAGGAAAACAAAATAAGAAAGTTTAGACATTATTTAGAGGTTACTACATGCAGGTCCATATAGTACCTTCTTCTCTGGCTTGGCTGATTCTGTTCCTCACCAGACATGCAATCTCTGGCCATACAATGTCTGTTAGAGCTTTTAACCGCTCCTGTATGAAAAACAGCATCCTTGCTAAGCTATCCATAAACAGTGGTGCAATCTGACACGTTACTTGCAATCTTATAATGTACACCTTATTCATACTAGTCATATTACCTGGTTCCCAAAAACCTTCTTTCCTAATGCGAGTCTGTTGATGGTCTTGTCTTCGTTCAGAATATCTAAGAGAGGCAAAAACAAACGTCTGAAATTCATGTGGATTTATACTGTGTAACGTTCACAGGACAACATTAATTGATCCAGATTCAATCTGGATCATCTTTTAGGGTATGATAGGCAGTTATACTATGCATCTTAACTGAACATTTCAGGATCTATTATTATGGACCAAGTTATGGCAGAAAATAAGTGTTAAATGAGGTTTTCAACATTAACTTTAACTAGACATCCGATCTGGAATCCAGATCAGAGCTGGATGAAATTTGGTCTTGTGATAGACATAGCGACGCTGCATATATGTGTTCAATTTCAAATGAATTTGAAGATTTCATCTAGTTTTGGGTTAAGGGCATTGTGAGAAATCATCATCAAAATTTCAAATAATTTTTAAATGGATGTAGAATATTGTAGATCATAATGTAGATGTAAATACTGAAGAGGAAAATAAATTGTAGGACTTTAAATTAGAAATGTTACATTTTGACCTCATACTACACTTATTCGGTCACTGGGCCAATCAAAAACCTTAAAGCCAGAGGTCAAACCATCAGACTTCATCAAAATCAAGTCAGGGGTTGTTTTAACTATAGCCCAACCCTTCTAATATAATTGCACATCCAGGAGGCAGGGTGTTCCCCTACCTGACCCAAATTCTTCAAGCACTCTGTGATAGGCTGCTGTGCCCGGCTGGTACACCTCGTGGCCCAGCTTGTCACAGTCAATGCGGACTGCACCCAAAGCCTCCAACTGCCTGGCGATGGAGCTCTTTCCACTGCCGCTGCCTCCCGTTAGACCAATCACATATGGAAGCGGAGGGAGATTGGACATGTCCTATCACAGAAGAAACAGGAAACACAGAGGTGCAGGATGTTTAAAAAAATGCTGGAAATCTTTAGATTTTCATTTGAAAGAAAAGAAAAAGATACCACAGCACTAAATGTGAGTCTGTCAACAGGCTGAAGTGATAATAGATGACCTATAAACCTGGCAAGTGAGACAAACAAGTGGGGCCTGCTCAAAGATACTCACTGCAGAAGATTTCATTTAAAGAAATCACTTGCGAATTTCCTCACTGTGTTATGTATTAGAATCTTTTATCCTGTATCAAAATGTAATCTTCTTTTAGACAGGACCTACTTTAAGTGGGGCAAGGAGGGTGCCCAGCAGACGAGAGCGTAAACTGGAAGAGCTGATCTTTTCCTCCTCTGTCTCCGTGTGGTGGGAATCCTTAAGCAACTGGATCTCATGAAGAACAAGAGCTGGAAGGCCCTAATTGAGGAAGAGAACACAAATAGACGCGAAGTGCACCCAGGCTAGGGTTACCTGTATCTGGAACAACATGTTTCTCTGCTGTTTCAGCATTAAAGCATGAACTGCTTTCTGTGCTTTCTTCACACTCTATTTTTATTTTAACAAGTCATTTTTAAAGCAATTCAATACCTGCAATCCATAAAAGTAAAGCTTCATATAATTTTAATTTCCTAACTTACATTCTCAATGCGTTTCTTGTTAACAGCCTCGCCTCCTTTTCTAGTCTCCTCGCTAACCACAATGCATTCCAGCAGGGGGTCAACCACAGACACTCCAAAGGGGTCGTCGAGAGGTACAATATCCACCTGAAGTGAGGGTTTGGTGTCTTGCAAGAACTCCTGTAATTTCTGAACTCGCAGAGAGAAGGGCTCAATCAGCTCCTTTAGCACTTTTTCTAAAGCCGGGAATAAAAAAAGATGTCAGTCCCCAGCGTTTTCATCATTGATTAAACAGATCATCAAAATATAGTACAGGACATTATACACATTCCTAAAATGGAATACTGGAAATGAACAACTCACTTTTCAGCATTACTTTATCACACACGCCAATAACGAGCCTTCTACTGGCTAACAGGCAGGAGATGTCAAGCAGTGTCTTGTGGGCTCCGTGCATGCGGTCAAATGTCCCACCAACTACCACATCACTGTAAGTCTCCAAGGGTTCTGGCTTTTCTTCATGCTCCTTTAGCCCTTCCTCACCATCCTGCAGCCTCATTAGCTGTGGGTGGAGCAGCACTGACTGCAGTCTGGGGCTACAGATGTAGCAGTCGCCTGTGTACTTCTGCAGACACTGAGTAACCTGATGGGACTGACCTGG